GAAAATGAGATTGAGACCTTACAAAGAGATCTACATGAACTCCACAAATGGTCATAAGAACGGCAAATTCGTTCTAATATCGATAAATGCAAGACCTTGCATGTGGGGCATAACAATCCACGTCACAACTAGCAAACTAAAAGAATTCCTTATTTATTTATTTATTTATTTATTTATTTATTTATATATATACAAGAAGGTACATTGGGTTTGTGAGAATACATTGGATAGTACAGTATTTACATTCTTGTAAAGCCACTAGTACGCGCAGCGTTTCGGGCAGGTCCTTATTCATCATCAACCTTGCAGCAGATTGATGGATAAAAGGACCTTGGAGTCAGAGTCCATCATTAGCTGAAAGTTACACAAGTAGAAGCGCCAGTAAAAAAAAGCCTCAACCAAACCTCATGAATAATGAAACGTGCCTTTACCGTCAAGGAAAAAAAAATGTAGTCATTCAATTGTATAAGTCTCTGGTGCGCCCCCACCTGGATTATTGTATCCAAGCATGGAGGCCTCATCTTCATAAAGACGTAGCTGCTCTGGAGAAGGTGCAACACCGGGCAACAAAAATTATTCCAGAGCTAAGTTAACTCTCGTACCAGGAACGGTTGAGGGCCACAGGGCTAACAACACTGCAAACCAGGGGCCAGATTCACGAAAGCACTTACGCAGGCACTTTCGAACGTGTACATCTTTCCTCAATCTTTGACGGCTTTAGTTACATTTATTAAACAGTTTACAAGCATGAAAACTTCCCAATCAACTGTTGTTATTGTTATAAACAGCCTCCTGGTGCTTCGGAGCTCATCAACTGTTTAATACTTATAAACAAAGCCGCCAAAGATTGAGAAAAGATGTACAGGTTCGTAAGTGCTTGCGTAAATACTTTCGTGAATCTGGTCCCAGGCATGACAGGGCGGATCTCATTGAAACTTAAAATACTAAACAATTTGAAGGATGTTGATCTGGACAATTTCTTCAAAAGGTCAGATGTATCGCAAACAAGGAGCAACGGTTTCCAGCTCAACAGGCCACAATGTAGGACTGAGAACGCGAGATGCTTTTTCATCCACAGGGTTATAAACCCATGGAACCGCTTACCCGTCGAAGCCGTAAATGTCCAAAAACCTGATAAGTTTTAAAATATAACTGGAAAAGATCATCAGGGCAAACGGGGGAACCTTTTACAAGCCGACGGCTTCCTGTCCTCGTCCAGGCCACTAGTGTCTAAGGTCCTAAGGTAAATTCAGGTAAATTATACTTCAGGTAAACATAATGGAATATTACTCAAATGAGGGGAAACAAGAGGATAATGTGTATTGATAACTTAAATAATTTTTTTATTCGAATTTAGAATAATAATTCGTTTCCTCGTCGGGTCAGGCAGCCTGTGTATGTATACACTTTAGGCTTGTATCGAGGTCCCTCCCCAGGATATAACCCACAACAGTTGCCTAACTCTTGGGTACTTATTTAATGGTAGGTGAACAGCGGCATTAAGTGAAAGGAAACATACCCAACCATTTTTATCCCGCCCGGAGATCGAACCGGGGTTGCGCCGACTGAGAGTCGAGAACGAAGAACATCACCCATCAATCCCGTTCTGTTCTCGCATAGACACCGTGAATAATACCAGAAAACTCTTAAAATATTCTGCAGCACCGACACTCTCCCGTTGCCATGGGTATCCCCTTCACAAAGCATTACAGTTGGGTACGTTCTCGACTCACAGTCGGGTATCTAGGTTCGTATCCCAGGCGGGATAAATAATTGGCCACGTTTTCTTTCATCTAGCAGCAAATAGGTACCCGGGATGTGGTTGTTGTTGTTTAAGATTCAGCTACTGGGAACAAAAAGTTCCCAGTAGCACGGACTATGGTGAGCCCGTAATGGCACAGGAGCGGGGCTGTAACTGTGGTACCCGGGAGCTAGGCAACTGTTGTGGGGGTTGTATCAAGGTCAGTAGTTCGGTCATGGGAAGGGACCTCGATATAACCGTAAAGAACACCGGGGTCAGGCTACCTGTCCCCTATAAAGCCAATTATAATTATTAATTATTATCTATGGAAGAATTCACAGTTCAGCTTCTCGTGGTCTTCAAAATATCAGATAACAACGGCGTACGAAGACATAACACAGCTAATCTGACCTTAAACGCTTCCTAGAAGGTTGTAACAGAACCCATGGGTACCACAACCCATAGGTACCACAACCCATGGGTACCACAACCCATAGGTACCACAACCCATGGGTACCACAACCCACAGGTACCACAACCCATGGGTACCACACCCATGGGTACCCACATGAGTACCACAACCCATGGGTACCACAACCCATGGGTACCACAACCCATAGGTACCACAACCCATGGGTACCACAACCCATGGGTACCACAACCCATGGGTACCACAACCCATAGATACCACAACCCATGGGTACCACAACCCATGGGTACCACAACCCATGGGTACCACAACCCATGGGTACCACAACCCATGAGTACCACAACCCATGGGTACCACAACCCATGGGTACCACAACCCATGGGTACCACAACCCATGGGTACCACAACCCATGAGTACCACAACCCATGGGTACCACAACCCATGGTTACCATGCTAGAAACAAAAATCTGTTTGATATTCCAAGAGTGTGATTTAACCAAACTATAAATGCCCTACAAATCAAGGGACCCAAAATGTGGAATGACCTCCCTAATCACGTCAAAGCCTGCCCCTCTCTCAACCAGTTTAGGAGAAAAACTACCTAATCAACTAAGTACTACCTAACCAACTCCATGTAACCTACCTTACCTCAAGGTAAGGATTATTCATCAAGGATTAAGGATTATTAACTTGTACTGATTAATAATAACTTGTAAAACTGCTGATATCTGCCATCTATAAATTTTAACCAAAATGTAGCCAGTCTGTTTATTTAGTTAAAATTACTATCTGTTGTTCTGTTGCAATTTCTGCTGTTCCATTAAACATGTAATTGTTGTCATGTTTTTCTACTTTAGTTCAATTCATGCTTTTGATCTCTGTTAGTTTTAAGTCTTAGTCCCCCCCCCCACACACACATCTTGCCTATAATGCTGTGCGTATTAGTGGCTTTAGGCATAGTATATTTAGGCTAGATAGAGCTAGCAGCTCTATCTAGAAATCCAACATTCTGCTTTTAACTCAGTTTGTTTGTATGTACTTTTATCTAAATAAACTATTAATATTACTATTACTAACACACAGAAATCACATTAACGTGATAAAACATTATATGAGAGGAAATTTATAGAAACTGGTAAAAAATAATGATATATTTTCATGATTCAGTGCAAATTAGCTCTTATATAAATCATAAAGTCAAGTCAAATTGAATTATTTTTTAGAATTAGTCAAATATAGAGTTAGTAAATTTTTTAAAGTTAGTCAAATTTAATTAATTTTTTGTACTGATGCAAATATTTTCTGCCCTGATTCCATTTATGACTAACCATCCTGTGAAATGAGAATATTAGATGAACTTATAGATAGTTTTTGATCAATATTTTTGTCGAGTTAGTTTTTGTCTAGTGGTAGAGTACGCGACTGGCAATACCGAGGTCCAAGGTTCGCGCCCACATATAATCTTAGTGGATTTTCTCATTATTATTATTATTATTAATTGCTGAAAAACATCATTCCCCTGTAGTGAGATCTTCGTACCCCGCTCACTATTGCCGTGTGCTGAGGTTGTCGTTGTTGTGTATAGCTATCCACTCTACATTAGTGCTTGGTGGGGGGTGCGGCAGCCCGTCCTCCTCAGGTTCCCCAACGTCATGAAAACGGTCAATGTAAAGTGTCGTCTCCTAACCTACCAGAGGACCGAAAACAGAAAACGGGACAGAACGTCACTTTCGCGAGCCGCTTCCATTTTCTAGTACGACAATTTTGTGGCCTTGGGTAACGCATACGAGCGAATAGCGACGTTTTTGTAGGACAGTTCGCAGGTGGAGTACCTTGTGGAGGTGGAGGTGGAGTCCCTGGTGGAGGTGGAGTCCCTAGTGGAAGGTGTAGTGGAATAACTGGCCGACCCCTCACAGTGTTCAAGAGAGAACGTGACAACATCTCCAAAGGATACCTGATCAAACAGGCTGTGATTCATACGTCAGGCTGCGAGCAGCCGCGTCCAACAGCCTGGTTTACCAGTCCAGCAACCAGGAGGCCTGGTCGAGGACCGTGCCGTGGTAAAGTTGAGCCCCGAAATCATTGCAAGGAGGTGGAGGTGGAATCCCTAGTGGAGGTGAAGTGCCTGGTGGAGGTGGAGGTGGAGTGCCTAGTGGAGGTTGAGTCCTGGTGGAGGTGGAGTCCCTAGTGAAGGTGGAGTGCCTGGTGGAGGTGGAGTCCCTAGTGAAGGTGGAGTGCCTAGTGGAGGTTGAGTCCTGGTGGAGGTGGAGTCCCTAGTGAAGGTGGAGTGCCTGGTGGAGGTGGAGTCTCTAGTGAAGGTGGAGTGCCTGGTGGAGGTGGAGTCCCTAGTGGAGGTGGAGTCCCTAGTGGAGGTGGAGGCCCTATAGCTGGGGGCCGCATGGCAGGCGAGGAGGCAGAAGTCTTGCGTCATCCGCCACTGCTGTTTCTCCCCCATTACCCACTTCCCAAGGCTCGCCTCCGCGCCTCCACTCTATTCCTCCACCTCGCTTCCCTGCTCCACCTCGCCTGCCTCCTCCACCTCCACCTCCCCACAACACAAATCACATACATCACCAGAAATAACCTGACACAATGAAAAGAAAACTTTCCCCTGACATTTGTATATACGTGATTTAGCGAGCAGTTCCACCAAACGACAACGACATCTCCTGCAATTGCGATTGAAAGGGAAAGCAAACGCATGCGCTGCCAGGCGTACAAGGAAAATCTCCAGGAACTTGTATCCTCATTAGCTTACCGATGCTTGATACAGCTCACTACGAAACATGATTGCATATCCACTGAATCATGAAGTATTTCCCGGATCCATCACAGCCCTGTGGCAATGGCCGTCGGGTCCTGTACGACTCTCTCTGACGAGCGAGTTGACGTTCTAAGGGAAGGGTGAACGTGTGTTGAACTTTTATGTGCATCTTTACTCGCTCTTTTTGGTATATTCGCAAATTAATATGTAGCATACAGCATCCGAGGACTGTACAGCAAGATATTCTCCCAAGGTGAGTCAAATGAGAGCGTTGCAGAAGTGGGAATTAGCTGGAAAAGGGGCATTTGTCCGTCAACCCCCTCCAGCTGGCGCGGTTACTCAATTGATACCGAGTCGGGGGGTTTGAGAGGACGGGTTGAAGCCCACATATATGGGGTGAGAATTGATGTCCGTGTGCTCAGTGATGCTCACCACCCAATATGGCCCTCTAATGAACACTGTCGCTAAATAATTGACGTATTACCATATACTATGTGATCTGTTGATGGAGTGACTTGCCAGTGATAGCATATTGTTAATTGTTGGTGGTGGTAATGGTGGTTGTGGTGGTGATAGTGGTAGTTGTGGCAATATTAATAGTTTCGGTGGTAGTTATGGTGACGACGATGGTGGCGACTGTGGTAGTGATGGTGATAATGGTGCTTACCTGAGAGTGACTAGAGGGAAGTGAGAACTCTCTCACCATGCCCCGCCTTCCGGTAGTCCTCTTATTATTATTAACATCTTTATTGACAAAATTAATTACAATTTTGCCTAATCTGAGGATTTTGATAGTCTTATTACATTGAGGTTAATGCTAGTATTCACTGTCACGCAGGACAGAGGGTGGTCATACATAAGACAATAGGTCTAAACTGTAGGCTGAAGCATATATATATCATGGTTACAATCAATGTTTTAATGTGTGGATATGTGAAAACAACTTTCTATTGTGCACTGCCACACAAGGGCAGGGATGGGTTCATAAGTGATACAGCTTAGAATATAAATAGAAATTGTTCCTGTGCCTATTGTCTTATAATGCAACGTTTCTGTCAGACTTTGACGAGTCTGGCCTTAAAGTTGTGGATGGAGGTGGCTTCTACAACCTCCTCATTCATTGTAAGACACTTGTTGACCATCAGTACGGGATATATGAGTATTTCCTTACATTTCTTCTACTCATTTGCCTTTCCAATTTCCACCTATTTGTCCTCATGAACTACTGTGTCTCAATTTATAGAGGTTGTCCTTGTCAACTTTGTTTACTCCCTCATTATCTTGTACGTTGTGATCATGTCCCCCGCTGTTTCTCCTGTCCTCCAGGGTCGTGAGATCTAGTCTCCTTATCCTATCCTCAAAACGTAGCCCTCTTAGCTTTGGCACTAATCTTCATGCAAACCTCTGTATTTTAAACAAAAAATATTGTATTTCACAAAATGCTGATTTCAGTACGGTGCTGCATAATCCAGTATTGGTCTAACGTAGGTGTGTACTCTGCCTTGAGAGAGAGTACTTATTTAGGTTTTATATATGCTGCCGATTTTGCTCAGTTTACATGTGCGATTTTTTCAGCAGCTTCATCCACGACGAGGCTAGTGTTGTAGGGTTGTGTCCTCACAGATGTAGAGTGTAGAGTATGCTGCTGATATTACCCTGTTCATATGTGCCTCTGGAGTTAGTCCCCGTCGTTGTGTACCCTCCTACGGGTCTCCTATCACCTGCTCTCCCATGTTCATCACCTTACACTTCTAGTGTTAAAATCTGGTAGCCATTTATCGGACCGGCTCTGCAATGTCTAAGTCAACTTGGAGTATTTTACAATCCTGAGTTATCTCGACTTTTCTCTTGAATTGTTTCCCTCTGTATAGATTGACATGTAGAACTTGTACAACTTGAAATGTAGTCATTTGTACTATGAGTCAATGAAAAATGAGAAATTTCTCAAAAACGGGAAAAAACGAGAAATGAGTCAACTGTACAACTTGAAATGTAGGACTCATCGTCCATAGTTAGGTCATTAATATAGATAAGAAATAGTATGGGACCTAACACCGATCCTCAAGGAACCCTACTTGTTACCCTCAATAGTCCGGACTTCTCACTCCCTCACTATGTCTCTGACTCCTGTCTGTAAGGTAATCTCTCACCCACGTCAGTGCACTTCTACTTGCTTCTCAAGTTTGTGTAGTAGTCTCATGTGTGGACTGTGTCAAAGGCTTTTTGCTAGTCCAGAAACCTGCAGTTTACCCATCCTTATCTGTCTTGTCTTAATGTTGTCGCTTTATCATAGAACAACAGTAGACTCACTAGATATTATTTAGTGTCTTTCTCTCCATATTGGTGCTTATTTACATACCTTATCCTCTCTAGGCGTGTAACTAATCTTATCGTTATTATTCCTCCCCGAGTACTTGGGGGGGGGGGAGGTACTTGGGTGGTGTAGGGTTCTTGGGAGGGGGGAGGGTACTAGAGAGGGGGGGAGGGGGAACATGAGGAGGGGGGGATGCTCGTCAGTGATGCTGGTCAATAATTTGTGTCTTCTCTCTCTCTCTCCTCATTCTTGTATATTGGTACCACATTTGCCTTCTTCCAGCACCTGGGAAAATCTCCCTTCTCAATTGAATAATTAAAGATTGGGTCTGGAGGCATATTGAGGTCCTTATTAAGCTTCTTATTTATACAGATCACTGTGATGTTTACACTGAAACATTGTTGCTTTTCATCTAGTGATTCCAATTGTCTCGTTACTTCCTCATCTGTTACCTCAGTGTGTGTCAGCTTCTCATCTTGGGTATGGGATTCAGCTCCTGGGCCCATTATGAGCCTCTGTAACCTTTTATGCTATCACTCATAGGATGGGTATTGGGCGCATAATAAACGAACTAAGTGAAACTGTCTTGTCTAGGGGTTAACTCTTCACCTAGCACTTTGCGTGGCTCCAGTTTGGTCGTGAACACTTCACTGAAACTGGCATTTAGTTCCTCACATATTTCCTTGTCGTTTTCTGTATGATCCCCCCTCCAATTTTGCATAGTCTAGTCACTTGGTCATTCTCAATACTGCTGTGTGTGTGAATGTACTCACCTAGTGGGGATTGAGCTGCGGCTCTTTGGTCCTGCCTCTCAACTGTCAATCCACTGGTGTACAGGTTCCTGAGCTTCTTAAGCTCTATCATATCTACATTTTAAGTAGTGTATGGAGTCTGCCTCCACCACGTCTCCTAGTGCATTCCATTTATTAATTATTCTGACATTGAGAAAGTTTTTTATGATGTCTCTGTGGCTCATTTGGGTACTCAGCTTCCACAACGGACAGAGAGAAAGATCTAGGAGTTGATATCCCACCAAACCTATCTCTTGAAGCCCACATCAAAATAATAACATCGGCGTATGCAAGGCTAACATTAGAACAGCCTTCAGGAACCTGTGCAAGGAATTATTCAGAATCTTGAATACCACATATGTAAGACCAATCCTGGAGTATGCGGCCCCAGCATGGAGGCCGTACCTTGTCAAGAAGAAAACGAAGCTTGAAAAAGTTCAGAGGTATGCCATTAGGCTAGATCCAGAACTAAGAGGCATGAGTTACGAGGAAAGGCTGCGTGAAATGCACCTCACGACACTGAAAGACAGAAAAGTAAGGGGAGACATGATTACCACCTACAAAATTCTTAGGGAAATTGACAGGGTAGATAAAGATAAACTGTTTAACACGGGTGATATGCGAACAAGGGGACACAGGCGAAAGCTGAGTACCCAAATGAGCCACAGGGACGTTAGAAAGAACTTTTTCAGTGTCAGAGTAGTTAATAAGTGAAATGCATTAGGCAGTGATGTGGTGGAGGCTGACTCCATACACAGTTTCAAATAATAATAATAATAATAATAATAATAATAATAATAATAATAATAATAATAATAATAATAATTTTATTTAGGAAAAGTACATACATAGATGTAGTTACAAACATTCTGATTATTTATAGACAGAGCTAGTACATACAATACCTAAAGCCACTAGTACGCACAGCGTTTCGGGCAAGGTGTGGAAGAAAAAAAACCTTAGACTAAAACTTAATAGTAAATTCGATTGAAAGAAAAAATAAAAGATAAAAAAGGGGGGAACATGGCAGAAAATAGCCAGTATACAAGTTGGTCAACAAACAGCATTGTTTACAAATAGTAAGACATGGGTTGATATGATTTGAAATTTTATTTTTTAATTTATTTTATTTATATATATACAAGAAGGTACATTGGGATTGTGAGGATACATAGCATAGTAATTATATTCTTGTAAAGCCACTAGTACGCGCAGTGTAGATATGAAATGTAGAAGTAGAAATGTAGAAATGATAGAGCCCAGTAGGCTCAGGAATATGTACACCAGTTGATTGAAAGTTCATAGGCGGGACCAAAGAGCCAGAGCTCAACCCCCGCAAGTACAACTCGGTGAGTACGGTACACCAAATAGACTAGTCCCCACACAAGAAGCTGCTGCGTCTTTATTTTAGTTACCCATTGAAGAGTCAGGCTTCTATGAAAGAAAACGTTTGCCTCAAGTTTTGTATAGACTAATATATTTATCTTGAACTCATAATTCACTGTGTCGCGGGACAGGAAGCCAGAGTGTATTCATACATATTTGTTTTTTATCGAGGTCCCCTTCCTGTCAAGGCCAGATTACTGACCCCTACCCCAGGATCCCAGGATGCAACCCAACAACAGCTGACTAACTCCTGAGTACCTACTCACTTTTTTTTAGGGATTCTCATTGTTAGGTGAACAGCTGCATTAGGTGAAAGGAAATGTACCCAACCATTTCTGTCCTGCCAAGGATTCGAACCGGGAATTCTCGAGTGTGCGTCGAGAACGAATCCAACTATACCACCGGGACCTTTAAGATAAAAAGACATTACAACGGGTTTCATTCAACTTCCGCAAATTACCCTTAATCTATTCAAAGAAATTTGAATCAACTGGAAACAGGTTTGAGTTTAGTTGGATCCCACGGGGTACTCCCATTATAGATAACAGGTTTATGGGGCGCTGGAGTTTTTTATGGTCAGTGGGATGTGACCCAATTCAGGGGGGGGGGGGTAGAAATAGTCAGTCTAGTTACAGTTACAGTCTAGTTACAGTCTAGTTACAAGAAATAGTTACAGTCTCCGTGGTGTAGTGGTAAGACACTCGCCTGGCGTTCCGCGAGCGCTATGTCATGGGTTCGTATCCTGGCCGGGGAGGATTTACT